AACCGTCCTACACCGAGAAAAAAGCGAAATTCGACATCGACATCATGTGAACCAGCACTAAACAAGCACCTCTGAGTTCTAAACGACTCCAAGTCCGCACCTGAAGATGACTCAGTCGTCGACCGTCCGACCCACCGGCCGAGAACGAGCCCCGACAGACAGGCCCGTGCTTCTCCTTCCAGGGCCGACGGAAGCCGCCCAGGAGTGGAGCGGGCGATGGGTGATGTTGGGTGATGTTGGGTGGATTGGTTGCAGAAACCAGGGGTCCAGTGAATGGCAAGTTGCACAGAGAGGTGGGTGAAACAGCCATCAAAGATTTGCAGATGCAATGCTCAATCTTGAGACTCAAGACTTACAATCATCAAATTCTTGACTGGAGACCAGCCGACATCAGAGCCTCGTGACCTTGATGTTGGATGATGGCCTGTCGCAATCCTTTGGATTCAACTTCGGCTTTGAAGTACCTTCGTTCATTTCAGCCAATCAACTGCAAGAAACACCAGGATTTTTCTGGAGAACGTAAAGCGGGGTGTGTGAAGCAAGGGATGCGATCGTCTGACCTACTTTCCCACGGTCCTCTTGAGCCAAACTAATCATCATGTTGGGTTGCAGTCAGTTGCAGTCAGTTGCAGTCACCTCATGCTAGGGGTCAGTTTATTCGTGACTGGTTGCCGAATGCTGTGATTCCAGGTCGGACAAGGACTCAGCACCCGGGTCCGGCCCCTGTGTTTTTGGGGGCCTTCGGCGGCCTGAAGGGGGATGGGCTGATCCTTCGCAGTTTGCAGCAAGTTTGAGATAGTTTGGGCACGTCTTTCTGCAAGCAGAGTTTTATATAGTTTTATACTGTTTTACAGTTTATCAATGTACATGTAGATTCAGGCACCTTTGGGAACAGGACTGGGATAAAATGGAAAGTTGGGCTGTTGGGCAAATCTAGGCGAAGCAGTGCAGGGCCCAGGGGATTTTATAATACTGTAATCAAGCGCTTTTTGGATTTTGATTTGAAGCAGCCGCAGGGGCACTTTAGATTGTGATGCCCAGCATCGCTCTGATAGTCTGTCCATGTCTGTTCGAACATGGTTCGTGATTGGGGTAAAGTGCTGCCAAAGCATTTGGTAGTGTGAGGCAGTGGTGAACTCTACACTCGCTTCCCTATTCACTGTGAACTATCGAAGAACCGCTGCTTCAAGCCTCCACCACATCTCCAGGCTCTTTGAGGTCTTACAAAGTCCACTAACGTTTCGAGGCCTTCATTCACTGTGGTGAGCTGCTTCTGAGTCATTTTCGTCAGTTTCACTGATCTCCACAGGGCGCAGGCAGCCAAGAGTTCCAACCGCTTGAGAGGATTGAAGTCGCTTTTTCAAGGGAGTCATGAGGCGCAAGAAGATCCTCATTTGTGCAAGCTCGGAGATTTACAAACAGATCCTCTTGGGTAAATTTGGTGGTGCTTACCGGTTAGGGTAAGCATGAGGTTGAGCCAACAATGAGGCATGAGGGTTTCTCCTGACTCTGGCAACCTCTTACACGGAAACAGCTTTCAGGTTTTAGAGTGGGAGACAGATGGTGAAGAGCCTCGTTCTGGTAGGTCGTAATCGTAATGAAACACACCTACGAACTTGGGTCGAGCCTTCAGATGGTTTTGCCTCGGATAAAATCGGATAAAAGCATCATATTGTGCCATCTACTCTGAACCCACTGTATTTAAGCTTCTATGTGCTGGCATTGCTATGCTGCTGGGATCATGTTGAGCCAACTCCAGAAGCGAAGAGCCCCAAGCGAAGAGCCTGGTCGCTTTGCTTTGTGGATATCCATGGCGCTCGGGGTCGCTCAAGGCAGACGTCGGGTGGAGGAGAAGCTTCCAAAAAGACAACTCCTCACGACTAATAATACGTGCCGTTTGGCAAAGTTTTAAAGGCAATGACCAACTGCACAGATTGCTTCAGCCACAGGATGACTTCAGCCACACTCATTCTCGTGCACCTTCATGCCCTTTATTTCACGAAGTGCAGATCACTGAAACCACAGCAGCTATCATGATCCTCGGGTAGGACATCGCAAGGGACTCCCTCCTGATTCCTCAGGTAGCCTTGAACCGTTTTGATGAAAAAAAGAGCGACTTGGGAGCTTCTCCGGCCTTTTTTGGCCCGGTTCAGTAGGTCTCGGCAGAGCCCAGGTCTCGGCAGAGCCGGAAAAAGGGTCCTTGTCGCGCTCGCGCTCGCGTCGGTCGTCTCGGTCAGTGTTGGAGACTTTCAGAGATTCCAAGCCTTGCCTCGACCCGAAGCGCCTCAAGGACCTCTTTGGAGCAACGTGTTGAGTCAACAGGAAAGTGATGCACCAATGCACCAGGCAGTTATTTCGGTAGTTTGGGGCCACTAGCAACTCCGCCGTCCAGAGCCAGTGATCGGTTGCCAAGAGCGCAACATTACAAAGAGCTTATGGCTCAGGTACTGTTCTGCAGCTCCAAAGGAGCATTGGAAGTGGGATCCACATGTTCCTATCACAGGTGGCTCTGATGTTCGATTCAGCAATTGGAACACAGAATATGGAATCGCATAAAGCATCATAAAACATCAGAAGACTGGGAGACATCACAGCAGATGTTCTACTAGGAGCAAGGACACTACGAACGTAGCTCCGTTTGCCCAACACCGACACGCCATGCTACGTGCACAGCACCTCACGTCGCCTGCGCGCCGCACCCAGCGCCTACGCCGAGACGTCCAACATGGCGGGCTACGGTCGACTGACGGAGGAGCAATATCGATCGCTTCTCGGCGAACCGAGGCGAGCGGATGGACTGATGGATCCTGAGGCTCCTGGATCCAAGCTGGGGCTTTGGTCACTTTGGTCGATCTGAAGCTGTTTGAAGCTATAGAAACTTCAAGAACTAGAGCTGTTTTGACCTTTTCTCCCATGCATTCAGCTCGGCGTGCTGGCGGACAGGGGGTTGACTTGATCTCTTCCATCTTGTCTATTTACAAGGGGAGATTCGATGATGAAACCATCTGGATCACCTGGCCTCGGCCTCCCTCCAGTCACTGGACCCATTGGGCATGCTCAGGCTTCGTCACCCGCCACCAATGGCCTACCCTCCTCTTCCCAGTGGGAAGCGAATGAACATCCACATACTGTATGCCATTCGAACGAGTCTCCGAGGTTTGGTACTGAGATTTTTCCGAAGCTCTTCCTCACCAGCTGCTATGAGGCGATGGACTTGCAAGAACAGATGGTGGAAGGAAAAGCATCACAGAAGTCTTGTATTTATACATATACAGTATATATATATATATTAACATTTAATTAACCGGTTTGTTGCCAATTTGCTGCACAACCAACCGCCACTTCCTTAAACCCCAACGCTCTCACCCCAAATCTTCACGCTTGGCGAAGTTTGTACCTTCAGGATATTAGGGTTAAGTTAACACTGTGCTGACCATAATGCCTTGATGTGTTCCCAGCATACATGTTCATTAGAGTGCGATTTGTCAGCTGGGACACTGGCATTTGTTTGCAGGCACAAGATCAAGATTTCTTGAAGAAGCACGGCATCACGACCTTTGGTCGCACAGAGTTATTCATTAACGTGTCGTTTTTCATCGGGATAGTCTTTTGGGCTCCACCGGGTTTGTCCTCTATTGGTGTTGTGCCGGTGGGAAAACGAGATTGCATTGCAAGTCAATTTCAATTTGTCCCCGTGCAAGAGCACAAACTAAACAACTTTGTGGCTTTGCAACTGCATCCAACTGGGCGCGCTTTTTGCTCAGAAGAGAAGCGAGTTCGCCGCCAGATGTATTCAATGCTGACACTGCACATTTGCACCTGTGAGAACGGCCCTTGAAGGAACTGTCAAATCGGACCGGGAGTCCCGGAGCGTCTAGGCGCACCCAAACACAACTAGGAGCAAGCCCAACATTCATGAGAGACGGGCATCTCTTAGCATACCCAGCTTTGAATACCCAGTAGGTGATTGATCACTACAACTGGTGCAAGAGCAGCTGATTGAAGGGTTCCAGGCTGTTCTGGTCTTGGCCTCGCTTTGCCCAGGCACATCGTCAGTGTGGCCGAGGACGAGGGGGAAGCCTTGAGCACGTGAGCACGCCGTGAGTGGTTCCTTGGAAGTCTAAAGAGTCCGGTCTCGGTCTCAGTGACCCTCTAGCGACTGGAATCGGTCATCGCGGATGAACGTCTAGCTTTCCGCTGCTTGTTCATGGACCCTGAGGGCCTCTATACCACATTATACCACCAAAGGTCCGCCCTCTGGCAGATGAAAAACCCAAGTGTCTGCGGACTCTCCATCTATACTGTCGCAGGAGTGTCCTCCCTGCTCTTCTCTTCACACTCTCCACCTTCCACTGCGTGATTCGCCGCGGACGGATGCCCGGCGGCCAAGTGCCCGGCCAGTAGAGACGCGTTTCGCAGCAGCCCGAACGCGCAGAGCCGTGACACATATACAGCTCCCCCCGCGGAATAGGGTTGGAAGATGTTGCAAGATCCTTTGTTACATAGGGTGGAGGCCATCGCTCTTAGTGTGGAGGCCATTGCTACTAGAGAGAAAAGTTAACAACTTGTCATAAGGATTTCCTCCAACATCTTCCAACCAAAGAGGGAGCCACGGAGCCACGGAGACCTGCTGACGTTTCTTTGGTGCTCTTGGGATGTAGTTCTGGACACAGAACACCCTCTTTAAGGACCTTGTGACCCGAAGACTTGTCGGAGATACCCATGTGTCGGCAGTGCTCAGATACTATCACACTTCTCGGAAGTCTTCGACTTTATCGATGCGGGCCGCAGCAAGGGTGCGGTGCTCATCCACTGCTTCGAAGGGAAAAACAGGCCATTGATGCGGTTGCAGACTGGTTCTTGATTGGAGGGGAGGGGCATCACTCAGCCCAAGCAATGAGCTTTCATTTTGCTCCCTTAGCTGCCTTGGACTTTCTCAATATGTTGTTTAGGGTGATGTGGAGATCACGGACAATTTAAGTGAGCTTTTTGCTGTGGAGGAGCGCTGCCTTCACCACAGGGTATCTCATGCAAGAGGAGCGTGGGACCGTCAAAAGAGAGATTGATTGCTTGAGGCTTGAGTTCCCAGAGTTTCCTTTTCACGTTTTTCACATCAATATGTCTGGGACGCTCTTTCCATTCATCCTCTGCACAATCAGGCAACCATTAGCAGCTAAAGCAGGTGCGTAGGTGGCTGCTTTGGTGGCACCGAGCTCCTTTGCGCTGATAAGAACACTTCGACCCGCCCAAACATCACCCTAACCCTCCAAACCATCAACACTTGAGGTGGGATATGATATGGTGGATATTTTCAGGGTTTTCTTTCCTTTCATGTTGGGGGCGTATGATTGGGCTTGATTGAGAGGATGAGGATTAGATCTTGGTTGGGGCAGGATGTGGTCCATGAACAAGAGTATGTGGCAGCAACATGCAGAGGGTGAACAAGTTTCAGATCCACAGATCTGGGAGCAGATTTTGGCATGAAGTGCTTGACCCATTTTGACCCCCAAAAACACCTGGAGGACCAACCGGTCCTGACACTGGAGGAGACCTGGACTCTAGAGACTGCCTTAGCACGGGTGAAGTCGGTGCGAAGCTTGGTGGATATGTGCCTCGACTTCGATTTGGATGGTGTCCCAAGAGGGATTAGGCACTCAAGCAGAGCTCTTGGCTGGAAGCTTTGCTACAAAAACAAGGCTACGCCGTTAGCGGCGCTGAGTCATTTGCACATCCGCCAGATTGCACCTTTTTCTGTAGGTCACTCGAAGAGTTCGGGCAGTGCCACCCACAAGTCTTGACAGCTGATCCTGGCATTGTGCCTCCACTGCCCAATCGTGGATGGTTGGGTTGACTAGACGCCTAATGACATTTTGGATGGCCAATTCTTTTGTTTGAAAGTGAAGCACCCTGTGACCCCGAACGCCCCCAAAGACATTTTCATGGTGCATAACATTGCGGTACTTAAAACCAACCACCGGGCCCCTGAAAGTGGAGCACCCTGTGATCCCGGCGCCAAAAGACACTGTCAGAGCGAAGGTGAAAACCATGAAGTGTAGCAACATACTCAGCGCCGCTAACGGGAGCGTTGCCAAAAACAAGGACTGTAAGTCATTGAATGCTTTGGAACTTCGAGTGTTGAATTTGAGGGCTGACATGATGCAACCTTTCAGCACGGTCATTTGGAGGGTCGAGGAGGATTTCGTCGCATCAAACTGTCTTCCACCGTCCAACACCGTCCATCGAACTGTCCAACCGCCTTTGCTTGGTCGACCCCTCGACGTGTTTCGTTGTTGCAAGCAGCTCAGGAACATTGGATTTCTGAAGCAGCTCTGCGACTGGGAGCGACAGCTATCCCTGCCCAGCCCTTCAGTTGCTGTGCTTGGAACGACCTGGGGAGGACGCGTCTTGGACGGTGGAAGTGGAAGCACTGAACGCTCCAGTTTCTCAACCGAAACCTTTCATGGCACAGGTTCCTTCTCGCGGAAGTTCCTCTTCATGGACAGGTTGATTTACTGTAGTTGAGGAAAGGGATGGACAGTGGTTCACTCTGTCATGACAAGGGCGCGTTATATACTTGGTGCCGGCACCAGTGCTTGCAACCTGAGGAAACTCGGTGGTTTAGCTTTGCTTTCGTCTCTTCCATAGCCCCAGTTGCTGTGTCAAGTTCCAGCACATTTTTAATGAGCCACACCCACGCAGCAGAGGGCAACGAAGCCACCAGCCTGACCCAGTTTGCTTAGGAATCTGCACTAATGTAAATATATATATATATATAATGCATGTGACAACAACTGCTCTGAGTTCATTTAAGCCAGAATCTCTTATTTGTGCGGAGTGCACATCTGAATTTCTACAAATCCCGCCTTCTTGGAGACTTTGCCCAATTCTGTTGAGGTTCCTTTGGATCAACAAGCCTGCGACGATCTTTTGGAGATGGATTTGCCTCTTTCCTCTGAAGTGGGAGACGGTTATAGTGGCGACAACCACTCAGAACGAAATAGGATGAAATAGGTGTTTCCAAACTCCCAAACCCGAACGATGTTCTAAGTGGGTCGCTTACAGTAGCAGTTGTCAGTGTGCGGAAAGACAACAGATATCATCAGATATCCATGTAACTATATATATATACACATACGTATACCGTATACATATGTATATATACATATAATATATATATATATATATATCAATAAATGGCTCAAGGTTTGGGCTCAAAAGGCTGCTAGAGGCCAAGGTGCTGGGATCTACGCGAGACCGAGCACGAGACCTTTGAAACAGAGATCGGTGAAATGCGGCGCCACTACCAGGTCTGCAAGGGCCGCCAAAGCTCTTGGATCTGGGCGGACCGAGTACTCCAGAAGCCCGGACTTTGTTGCAATCAGTGCGGGAGAAAGTGGCAACAGCAGCAAGTTCCGGATCTTCGACAACGTCAAGTTGAGTGGGCCAGTTGGAACTTCCAGAAGAAAGGACAGCAATGGCCAAAGAAATCCTACAAGGAGACCCTGATCGATCCTCCTCCCGGACTTCAAGGTGGTAAACCTCACAGGCCGCCAAAGATGAAGGGCATTGAAAAGAAACTTCAGGAGCATTGGACCAACATCCCGGACATCTTGAAGAAGCAGCTGGAGGAGATGGGCATCAAGGGAGCAGAACCGGCGCCCCCGCCAGATCTGCCCACCTTGATCAAGGATCATTTGGAGAGCTTGCCGACAGTCCTCAAAGAGGAAGTTGAAAAGATCATCCAGCCCACGAAGATGGAACCGCCTCTCAACCAGAAGCTCAAGCAAGCGGTTGGGACCCTCAAGCAGCTTTCAGAAAAGAAGGCAGCAATCCAGACCAAGGCGGATGCCATCAAGCAGCAGTACACACAGCTTCTCAACGAGCTCAAGGAGACGCAGAGCAAGATCGAAGCGGCACAAAAGGACCTACAAGAGACCACCAATCTCTACAACCAGCAACTCGAGCAGGAGAAGCAGGTAGCTGAAGAACCCCTCCCAGAAGAACTGGCAGCAGAAAACCTGCTGACCGTGATGGCCAACATAGGCCTATCCGCCACACCGGAGCAGGTCAAAGAGCTGGCACAAAAGCTGAGCGAGAACGTCATGAAGAGAAGGAAGTGTGGGTAACCCTCAAGAGGTTACTGAGAAGCCCAACCTTGAACGAGCACAGAGCACATGTGTCACACACCTAGGGGAAACAGGTGCCTTGAACACATGTCTATGGGGGAATTTTGGCTCAGACCACACGGGAGGGGATGCCCGTGTGAATGCAGCTACATGGGGAGCTCCAGCAGATGAAATTATGTTGGAGCAACAAAGGGAGGAGAACTTCCCAGGATTTTGTGGAGGAGTTCAAAACACGGACTCCATGGACCATGAACAGGACATCAACATGATGGATGGTGCACCTCACCAACAGACTACCTCTCCTTCCAGCACTTGCAGCTCTCTTGACTATGTGGTCCAGAATTTGCAGTGCAGACTGGGGAACTATAGGAACCGGTGCTTTGCCAACGGGCCTTTCAGGTTGTGGGCATGGGCAGGGAGCTTCATGCAGGGAAAAGAACTTTGGCAAGGCACTACCTCAGCAGTCACAACAGCGCTGGGAGATGATGGAGTGGTAAACATCACTACATTGGAGACCTTGGCGCCTTTGTGGGAAACCTTCAACGAAGCAGTACAAGATGATGCAGCACATTTCTTGCAGCAGCTGGTTCACCTGGCCAGCTCCAAAAAAGTCATTACACAATACCACCATGTGGACCATCGACAGGAAGTGCACCTTCGAGCCGCCTTCCCGACCCATCTCATCTACCCGGAAGATGGCGGAGAAGAATTTGAAACCTTGATATCCACGTGGGCAAACACAGCGGAAGGACAAGTTCTCTCCGGCAGAGGACTGTGGGTGGCTCAAATTGGGCGCTACACCCATAGGCAAGGAGAATGGACCAAGCACCACAAGACCTTGCAGGTGCCAACCATCTTTCAACTGCCGGTTTGCTTGGATGGCGTGACCGCAACGACGGAACAGTATTCCTTGATCGGGCTCCTATGCCATTCTGGTGATGCACACCACAGTGGACACTTCTACGCCATCTTTGTCTACCGCGGCTTATACTGGTTGGTGGATGATGGATCCTACCCACGAGCTCTTCCAGTCCTACAGGAGAACATCAAGCAGCAGATTGTGCAAGTGTGGGCAATTCCGTCAGCCTACCTCCTGCCAGACCACATCCCAAGTGACTTCCCTACACAAACACAAGGAAGTCAATCAGCAGCACCTGAACGCAAAAGGAGGAAGCAAGATCACATTGACTTCACCTTTGCCAATGTGACGAGTCTGGGGCAAGCAGTTCGACAATGGATCGGAGGCAGAACGAGAAGCCCTTTGTTCATTGCAGAGACTCACCTGGCGCCGGATGACCATCACAAAACCATGCAATGGCTATGTGGCCGTGGTTTTGGAGTTCTTGGAGCACCAGCAGCACAGAGCCCCAAGGGTGGAACGCATGGGGGGCTCATGATCGTCTACCCTGCACACCTGCGCTTCCATCAGATACATCAACAAATGATTGATGGCTGTGGGTGGGTGGCAACTATGTGGACCTTCAGCGACTTGAAGCTCATCATGATCGTGGCCTACTTCAAATGTGGAGAAGGAGTTCAAGGGAAGACGAACTCGGCGCTGTGGGGTGGGTTGATTTCTTTTGTCACAGGAGTCAACCACCCATGCATCATCATGGGGGATTTCAACATCAACCCGGGAGAGTTCATGGCCACCACCATGGGGACGGTCATGCAGGTTCAAATGGTGGCCACTGATTGAACGTCCTATTGCATTGGTGGCCACACTTTACCGCCTCTGGTGTCGGGTCCGCAACCAGTACACGAAAGAGTGGCAAAGCCAGCTTGAGGACGAATACCCTTGGGAGCGGGCGGTCCCAGGGACAGAGTGCTTGCAAGTGGCGCTCAAAAGAGCGTTCCTCACTGAACATCACCAGGCCCTCAAAAAGACGGTGGTGTCAGTCCTCCTGGACCTGTCCAACTTCTACGACAGGATCAATCTCCAGAAACTGGCGAGAGATGGTTAAGCTCAAACTACCCCGGCACCCACGCCTCCTTTGCCATGCAGATCTATTGCGGCACCAGGATCCTTGAGGCAGAGGGTGAAGCTTCAGCGCCAATGGGGACCTCCAATGGCATCCTTGCGGGAGATCCTCAGGCCCCTCTGGCAGCCAAGATCTACCTGCAGAAAGCGCTCAAAGCATTCTGCAAAAAGTACCCGTTCCTGCATGTCGACCTTTGGATAGACGACTTGAGCTTCGATGTCATCGAACGGGATCCACAGAATGCGGTCAGGATAGCCATACAGGCCTACACGTATATCAAACAGCTCTTGGAGGAGGACGAGCTCAAGATCTCCGAGAAGAAGACGGGGTTCGTTGCATCGAACATAGAGGCCAAAAGACTGCTGCAGCAACAGCTCCCACCAGGGGGGTCAGCATGAGGGATTTGGGGGTGGACTGCACTGCCAGCAGATTGAGACGCATCAAAACGATGAAACAACGGCGGAGGAAAGCAGGAGGCAAAACCAGGAAAATGAACATCCTGAAGATACCTCAAAGAGCAGTTCGACTACGCCTCTACAAGGGCAGCATCCAAGCAGGCATAAGTTGGGGACACCAGGCAATGGGTTTAGCGCCCCAGATCCGGCAAAAGCTCAAAGCAGCAATGGGCAGGCAAATGGGCCTGCAACGTACGGGGAACCTCGACATCCTGTACGACATGCAACCGGCACAAGGATCCAGCCTATGAGGCCTTCGTGGAGCAGATCAAGGTCTACCACCGGTTCTATGGCAACTGGCCGGAGCACCTCTAAAGAGACATGGAGAAAGCCTGGAAGGTCACGAAAGAGAGGCTCCAGCAGGCAAAACACCCGTGGCAAGTAGCCCGTGGACCAGTAGCAGCTTTGATCTGTTACCTCCATGACCATGGGTGGAACACCAACACCTACGACCTATGGACGAAGCCTGGCCATAACGGGGAGGATGAGTACACCCTCAACATGAAGTCCAGCTGGTACTATCTGGTGGAGGAACTTCGACGAGCCCAACGACGTGAGCGCACTCAGAGCATTCAGAAGAGGCATGACCTACAAGAAGTTCAGAACCATCTGGACTGGCTACCTTGGAGAAGACTGGATAAGCAATCCAACACCAAGGTCCGCACAGCATTGCAAACTTGGCACCAAGGGGCAATTTTCACCAAGATGGCGGAGGGGCAAGAAGGCAAACACCTCCAATGCCCACACTGCGGCTGTGCAGCTGATGCAATTCATTTGCTTTGGCAATGCAAAGAGACAAATCGTCACTTTCCACCACTACCAGGTGAAGTGGCTACGGAGTTGGAGCAAGGAATTGGGCCCAGGCCTAGTCCAAAGGCCACCATACCAGATCTCCACAGGTGGTGCAGCCATCCAGGCTTGGGGCTCCTGGACGGGGTTGGACGAGATCACCCTCCAACCTCATGATGCCATCACGATAGGGATCTCAACCACAAGCAGTGACAGCCGGCTCAAATACTACGTGGTCACGCTTCTACATCACACCCTTTTTGCCGGAGAAATGTACCGCATGGGGGCCATCAGCACAGTGCTACCAGGCAAACAAACGGTTGCTCGTGCCTGGTACTACGGCCTCCGCATGATTGCCCATTATGTGGATTTGCAGTCCATGGTGAGGGTGCACGTGCTTTCAGTCAAAGCATGGCAAGGATGGGTCAAAGGACGTCACCACGAGACCTTCTTTGACTTAGCCGAGTTGGTGACATGGGACCAGCGGCAGCGCATCAGGGCTTTGAGCGTGACACAACAGCAGATCAAAACTATGCCAAGCACAGGTCTGTCGTTACGCAACAGGTTCAAGGATGCAAATCGGGCAGCAAAAGAGTTTGCACTTTTAAAGAAACCTGTGGCTATTGAACAAGAGCTGCAAGAGCAAGACCAGAGGTATGGGCAATACGCGCCAATGGCAGCTGCTCGCATCCGCTTCCTCCTGGAGACCCAAGATCACTTCCTACATGGGCAGAAGGCCACAGGCAAAGAACAACGACAAAAAGCACGTGAAGAGAAGAAACATCTCTATCTAGAGATTGGAGTCACAGGTCATGAAGGGGGACACCAATGGACCTCCAAGGGCCGAGGACTACAGTGCCGGAATTGCAAGAAGCAAATCCATCAACGGATGCCCATGGCGGTGTTGAAAACAGCCAAAGACGAGGCATGTGAAGTGGCCAGCGGCATTCCCCTCACAGCAGGAGAAGCACCACAGGAGTCGAAACAGGACTACATCACCAGAATCCTTGCGGAGAACTCGGTTGATGGCCACCTGTTCACCCTGCAGGCCAACTACATCGTGTGCCAGAAGTGCAGTGCCAGGGTTCTAAGGAACTCAGCCCGAGAAAAAATCCAGCAGCTCCATGAAGGACCATGCTGGTATGGACCGTGGCAACCTCATCCACGGTGGACGGGCAGCCCCCCACACACACCATGTGGAGGAAAGGAAACAAAGTGTACTGCCAGCACTGCAACAGCCACGCCTTGCTGAAAGAAGACTGGCAAGCGAGCCGGCCACTACAGCGGCCATGCACACGAGAAGTGCAGAAGCAGACTACTCTGCCACACGTGTTTCGGCCAAAACGGCCCACTGACGAAGCAGACTGAAAAGGTCCGAGAAAAAAAAATATATCAATAAATTGACCAACTTGGAAATTCACTCCATGCTGTCCATGAGACGCACAGTTTGCTCATTTTTTCCGGTGTTCGGTGTCGAGGATCACACCTGAAGAGATCGGCAAGTATTCCGCTCCAGTGGCACCTTGACAAGTCCGTGCGAAATCCAGTGCTGTGGAATGAAGGCAGCGAAGGACTTGAAGCTTGCTTTGTTTGCATTCAAGTGGCAAGGTGGTTCATATCTAGCAAGTTTCTAAGCATCTATTCTAGTCGGATCACACTTGGCTGCTTGAACTCACGCAGGCTCACGCCAGAACAGGCATGAAATGCCCATGTTCTTTACTTTTCATGTGCTCATGATGCAGAATTTAACCCGTGTCAGGGTGCCATGATGCTGGTAAGGCGCCCAACCGTGGCAATGATTTGCTTGGCCGCAAGAACAACGGTGATGGTCCCAGGCGATCCCAGGCGTATGGGAACTCGTCTGCCACGACACCCAGCTGTGAGGGTCTGTTTTTCCCCAAACAGTTTACTGTTAGGGGTTCTCAATTCTTTCTTAAGATGTGTCCGCCCTCTGTGTCACTGCTGGTGTCCGCCCTTTTCCGATGGCCACGCAGCATTTCTATCCATTTGTCTCCCAGGTCTGTCACTGTTGGTGTCCGCCCTTTTTCCTTTTGCCATGTGGCATTTCTATTCATTT